CCGGGCTGGGGATTCGAACCCGCCACCTTAGGTGTACGTGGCTGGCGCCTTAGCCGGTTGAGCTATAGGCGCCAAGCCTAGTTTTTCTATTTTAGTAGAGACAGGGTCTTGCTGCTCTTGCTGCTCTTGCTGAGGCTGGTCTGAAACTCCTGAGCTCAAGCAATCCACCTGCCTTGGCCTTCCAGAACTCTAGGATTATAGGTGTGAGCCACTGTGCCTAGCCAGTATAATTCATTTGTAAAGTATTAATAGTTTCATTTATTGTTAAACAGTAGACTTTTGTCCAGAACAGTACACAATATTGTTTATATTTGTGCACAGTTATATTGTGCAGGCAGTAGGGAAAATAGTAAATACTTAAATCTACACAGCCTAATTTGGCAGTTGTGTTATTACTTAAAATTCATCTATATTGCTGACTCCTAATAATATAAAACTTACTTAATTGAGATTCTATGTCTGCAGAGATAGACGTTGATCTTAGAGTATCATCATCTTAATTTAGAAGATAAAGCACATGATGATAGATCTATGTAAAGGGATCAAAGGACTTGATTCCCTGACTTTTGGATTTGGTAGAAATGATTATAATTGCTTCCCTTCACAGTTGCTTCTGATGGTGGTGGGGAGCTAAAAGATGACCAGATCTTGAACTGGTTTTATTTCTGATTTTGCCAAAAATGACTGAAATGAAGAAAAATTTCTGACTTGCCTTTTCAGAAGCAATGAGTTCTTAAAAGATGTCTAAATGAGTGGTCTCTTTGTTGATAGAAGGAGTTAAATTAAGGACATACTTCAAAGAGATGTGTATCAAGGCATATGCAGAGGAAACACCTATGTGTTCCCAGTAGGAAAAATAATCGAAACTATATTATGTCAATGGGGAGGGGGAAGAGCCTTTTTAACAAAAGTTTATTACCACAGGCAAAAACATTTAGTTTCTGAGCACTTGAATTAGGACTATGACAGATAATAAACTCTCTTCTATCTACTCTTTAAAGATTTGTTTGTTTGTTTTTGAGATAGAGTCTTAACTCTGTCAACCTGGGTAGAGTGCTGAGAGTGCTGTCATAGCTCACAGCAATCTTAAACTCTTGGGCTTGAGTATTTCTCGTGCTTCAGCCTACCTAGTAGCTGGGACTACAGGTGTTTGCCACCACACCTGGCTAGTTTTTCTGTTTTTACTAGAGACGTAGTCTTGTTCTTGCTTAGGCTGATCTTGAACTTCTGAGCTCAAGCAGTCCACCCACCTCAGCCTCCCAGAGTGCTAGGTTTGTAGGTGTGAGCCACCATACCCAGCCCAAAGTTTATGTAATTATTTTCTACTGTGCTATAATAGATTTGAAATCTATAAAATCTAACTGTAGTATACTTTGATTCTCCATGTTTACTATAGTATAAAATTGAACAGTTAATGTATTTTATTTAATGGTTAAATGATCACCTCAGATAAATTTTGAGAACAAAATTAACAAAGAGGCAGAATTTATATTTTTAAAATTTTTCAATACTTTTAAGACCAACCATATCAAGACTTTGAGTTGTTAGATTCTTCAGGTATGGCGTTAGTAATAAAAATAGGACTTGGCTCTTGGGTTTCACATTTCATAATGTCTATAACACATTTATTTTTACAATGATTCTGTGAGTTGTATTATCCAACAGCTTTATTAAGCAGCTTACTCAAAATCACTCAGGTCTATGGAAACTGAGAACAAGTTTTAGTGTTGTTTTTTTTTTTTGGTGAGACAAAGTCTTATTATGTCACCCTCGGTAGAGTGCTGTGGTATCACAGCTCACAGCAACCTCCAACTCTTGGGCTCAAGTGATTCTCTTGCCTCAGCCTCCTAAGTAGCTAGGACTACAGGCACCCACCAAACACCTGGCTATTTCTTTTTTTTTTTGCTGGAGTTGTCATTATTGTTTAGCTGGCCTAGGCTGGGTTTGAGCCCACCAACCTCTGTGCATGTGGCTGGCACTGTAACCACTGTGCTATGGATGTCGAGCCTTTTTTTTTTTT